TTTTTTCTTCAACTTCTGTGTGATAGTTAGTTTCTTGAGCGGGCCACTTAGTGTTATCTTCTTGCTACCAAGAAAATCCCTGCCACCACAAAAAATTAGTGACCAATTCCGAGGCAGGTAGCCAAATCGGTTGGATTCGAAGCCGAGTCTACATGTAACCAGTCCTTGTTATCGACTTTTTCTACTTTTTTCGTAATTCGGTGTGCGACGAAAGTTGACCAAGAACAAGGCGGATTTCGTATCCATGCGAGTACGATGGTAGAATATGTACAAAGATGTGCTTTTAATTGTCCTAGGTTTAGGTTGTTGGTTACTGATTCTAAGCTCTAATCGTGGTAGCGAGATGGTTTTGACAGGAGCTACTTTGGTTTTTGCCAAAAGAAGGTTTACCAAAACTTTTTCATCTCTTTTGACGCGCATGTATGCCGTAGCCGCATATGCTTTTTCTGATGTGTCGTAGAACCCATGTATCTCGATGTCATCTCCTGGTGAGAAGTGTACCTATCGCGGTATTCTAATATTGTCTATTTCATGGTAATGTTTTGTAAAATTCTTCCAGCGTTCCAAAGTAGTAGTCTCATCCCAGTCTGTGCCCTCTAGCCAAATACTCTGCATAGTTATTTTGGCTACGACGACTAGTGGAGCAAGCCATCCTAGCGGATGAAATAGCTTGGCGATAGCTGATAGTATCGCCCTTTTTGTAAGTGTATCGCGGTCCTCCAATGGTCTTGCCATGAAATAGAAAAGATCCGTATGGGCATTCCATCTTATGTCAAGAGCCTTAACCGTGCTGGTATCTTCGAATGCTAAAAAGTCTTCACTGAGTAAGTCCGTTTTTGGGATGTCCTTTAGAATTTCCGCACAGTTTGAGGTCCATTTCCTTACCGGAAAACCGGCTGACCGTTGTACTTCAGATCTTTCATTTCTTCCTTTTACGGTAGAGTCGATGCTGTGTCCTCCAGCTAGCACGTCATCCACATACATGCATTTTCCTGTATATTTGATGCTATTGAGGAAGAACTTTCTACATCGTCAGCCAGTTGTAAAAGTGTCCTTATCGCGAGTTAAGGAGCACAACTAATCCCGAAAGTGACAGTCTTCAATTCGTGTATACCTACAGGTTCGTTTGGGTTTCTACGGAAAACTATCCGCTGATATTTGGTATGGTTGCTATCCACCCCAATTTGTTGGTACATCTTCTGGATGTCACTATTAAAAACGTATCTGTATAACCTCCAGCGGAGTATAAGGATCGGAAGATCTGCTTGAAGAACTGGACCTGGGAGAAGTACATCGTTCAGACTTGTGCCATTAGCCGTTGGACTTGAGGCATTAAAGACGACTCAAACCTTGGTGGAGGTACTTTCTGCTTTTATGACAGCGTGGTGAGGCAAAAAGTAGTTATCGGAAGAGTCTGCTGAAATGCTATCATTTATTCTGGACATGCATGCTGGAGAGCATGCTTTTTTAAGAGAAGGGCGTAGGCAGATATTTGCGGGAAATTCCTGCCTAAATGGTAGTGAGACTACGTATTTTCCGTCTTCTCGTCTACCAGTTGTCTTCCGATAAAGTTCATCACAGTATTTGTCGTCTTCGTTCAAGCTTTTGTTTTTTGGTATGTCTTCTTGTTCCCAGAATGCAGTAAGTTTTTTGTCCAAGGCAACTTCACTGTGATACGAATCTATATTGTTGGTCGGATTGGGTGCTTCTGTGCAACCGGTTAATATCCAACCGAACACGGTTTCTTGGGCGAGAAGTGTGCTGAGTACATTTTTCTTCAGGCCGCATAAAATAATTTGGGGATAAGTATCTCCGCCAAGTATGAGGTCTACTTCTTCATTAACGTAGAACCGTTTATCAGCTAGAACAAGACCTGGAAATGCCTGCATAGTCATGGCGCTGATATGAGAGGATGGTAGATTTCCAGTTAGTTTTGTTAGGACGAGCACCGTTGCATGCAGGCTGAACAATGGATCAACTGGGGATCGAAGTTCTATGCTGCATGCCTCTTAGAACTGCGCAGAGGTTGCATTCGTAATGCCCGAGACTTGGCCATGCATCCTCTTAGCTGGAAGATTGATTCTGCGTTTGAGTCGTTCTGTTATGAACGAACACTCAGAACCAGAATCATTAAGTGCTCGAGCAATAAAATCTGTGCTTTATAATTGCGATATATATATAGTGAGCTTTATAAACGAGATATTTTTCTTTGAAATGTAGTTGCGGATCGATAATAGTTTCAACAAAGACAAGGTTGTTAAAATATTTTAAATAATGATAGCGGAGTGATTCAAAAAAGAAAACCACTTTTTGTTAGTCATATTTCCAGTTAATCGGAGAAATTAATATTAAACCCGCAGCGCGCAGATTTTGTCCTAAGCCCGAAGGCTCGTAGACCCGGACATTTGGCAAGCCTACCCGTGAGGTTTATTTTTACCTTAATAATGAATATATCGTTACCAAGTTGAAAAGGTGCCAAGTCCATTTTTTGCATTTGTTCAGGAGGGACCAAAAATCGATGTAGTTTCGCATTATCTGTCATTCTGCATCACAAACTATGAACTTGCACGGGGCACTTATCGGTAATAACGCTCCGGTGCA